TTGAAATAGCCACAACCTGGATACCAAACCATATGGTTTCTCTAGCGATCATCCTTATTCAATCATTCTTATCCCCAGGTCAAATTAAAATAACTATTTCGCTAGTGCTGCTATGTCTTTGCTACATTTTGAGGCTAAGTACTTGAAATGCCACAAAGGACGTTGTTGGAAATATTGAAATCACTGTATTAATTATTGAAACATTCCATTCACAGCATCGGTTATAAATCTTAAAGCTCCCGTCCTGAATTCTGATTGGTCAATATATTCCAGCTGTGCTAAAATACATTATAATTACAGCACCTATAGATGCCATCTATTAATATTTGTTTACATGTCAAAGACTAAATAGTCTTGCAGAGAGATGCCATGTTTTGACTATAAATAAAACATCATAATTTAGTATATTTTATATTATACTATAATATTATTATTATTATTATTGTATAACAATTATATTACATTACATTATATTTAGTGCTGGGCAATAATTAATCGCATCCAAAAAAAGTTTTTTTTTATATATATATATATATAATATACGTGCGTATACTGTGTGTATTTATTATGTATATATAGACACACACATACAGTATATATTTTGAAAATATTTACAAGTATATATTTATATTCATATAATTTATATTATATATAAATATATTTAATATATAAACATAATTTTTTTTAAATATATACATGCATGTGTATTTATATATACATAATAAATACACACAGTACACACACATATATTATGTTCACAAAAACTTTATATTATATTATATTATATTATATTATGTAGTACTATTATTTAAAGCCAAATTATGAAATGTCTGTTGTAAACTCATAAGAATACTGTATCCCCATAATGAAACACTTAAAGTGTGTAAAATAACACAGATCCCCCCTCTAAACATAAACACACACTATGGACACGAGTGCACATGCACACAACAACAAAAACACCACCACACAGACATGCACTTGCACAACATGCAACACGCAAAATAAGCTACAGAATGAGACAAACATGAATGCACAAGTCAAACAAAACAACATGATTCTCCCTGTAAGCACCTGCACCTGGAGATGTGGAACAGCACTGAAACTACATCCACCACATCTCCAAACACTGGCACCTAATGGAGCCTCCATTCAGAAAAGCCACAGTGTTACTACATCAGACCACTGCAGCTGTTATGAAACCAAGTGGCTGCTCCGTACGCCGTAGATCATACACCCTGAAATTCTCCTGCCCCACCGATCCCCCCTGGAGTCTATGTGGAGCCCTACCAACCTACACCCCTCACACACACATCCAAAACAGACACGTGTAGAACAAAACAGAGTGACGCATCAGAGCGGAGAAAGACTGCGCTTACCATGCTTTATCCCGACACACAGAAGAATGCTGCACGTCTCCCGTGCACACACTGACACGCACGCACACACACACACGACACGCATGAAGCCAGAGAGAGTGTAGGAGGGGAGAAAGAGGTGGAGTGAGACAGCATGCAAAGCGGAGGATGAGTAAAAACCACTGGGATCTAAATTTGGAGGAAGTGCAACCACAGATTTGAGGGATAGACAGCGTAGCAGGGTTGACGGCTGTGTGTGCGGGTACAGAGTGTGTTTTCTGAAATCAGATCGGCTCAGGTGAAGCATCTGAGTGGGTTAAGAGAGGGAAAGAGAGAGCGTGTAAAAACGTATTATGCATTATTACCTCTGCGTTTAGCGCGCATGGAGAGCTCACAGCCAAACAGGGTCTTATGTAACAGCTGGACGTTGTGCTGAGGGAATGCAGTGAGCATATATGTGTGTGTGTGTGTGTGTGTTGCCTTTGGTCGTCTTGGATGATGTATGCTTTTCACACTGCACACAAATCCAATTTCGTTTCAGATGCGATATTTGGGCCTGATTGTTATTTTGATGAAATGCGATTTCGTTTGTTCAGACAGTCAAGATTCAGCATTTAGCATCATTTTAGTGTCAGCAGGATTTTAAAAGTCTTTCTCATACAACAAGCTGTCAACGTGGAAAGAGAGGACGGGAAAACTAGAATTTAGCCTCTGCTGTCTACCACGCCATTTTGCTGACCAGAACATAAGCTACATTTTACGACATATATTTGTCCAGAACTGCTGATTCAGTCACTAAATAGTGAATATCACACAGTTTATTATGTAAGGAAAGAGTCAACAAAAAGAAAAGTATTCAGACACAGTTCCAGACAATATTGTGTACATTATGTATGACGTTACACATATATTTTAAGAATTTGTATTCCTTTACTCCAGTCTTCAGTGTCACATGATCCTTTAGAAATCATTCTAATATACTGATTTGGTGCTCATGAAACCTTTCTTATTATTATCAATGTAGAAAACAGATGTACTGCTTAATATTTTTGTGGAAACAGTGATACATTTTTGAGGATTCTTTGATGAATACGAAGTTCAAAAGATATTTTTTGTGGAAAACTGTTTTTATTTTCAGGATTTGTTGATGAACTTTGGAAACAGCAATTATTTGAAATAGAAATCTTTTCTCACATTTAAAAAACAAACAAACAGAAATCCAATCTAACAGTTCAGACTTTGGATTTAATTTTTTTTTTTCCTGTTCAGACAAAAAGAAAACGAATTGCAACAAAGCCTAAGAACTGTCTCCTATTTCTCCCTTATGTTCATTTACTTACTCTTTCTCTTCTTCCATTTCCACTGGTGTTCACAGGTAAGGCATTGACCCCTAAGCCACTAACTAAACCTTGATTGGCACCTCAAGTGTCTATCTTGGAAAATGACTAGTTATAGAAAGTCCAATTCTATATTTTATGTAAACACAGTATATGCATTTCCTATACAGTGTAACTGCAAGATTTAAATAACTTTAAAGTTTTTTATTAATTTTTTTTAACAAGGTAGCGACAGATCTTTTCTAAGATTGAGTTATGACTTTTTGTTTTTAAAAAAATTACAAAGTTAAATGTATTAAAAAAAGAAAAAAATGTGCATGAATGAATTGTTCATTTGGCTCTTTTTATGTGGGCCCGACCACAGTGTCTCTCTCTCTCAGACACACACACACAATATTCCCACCGCATATAAATTCCCCACACATTTGTGAACCTGCAATGACTATTTTATCAGGACTGTGAATTCCCAGATGCTTAATGTGATAGGTGCACTGTTCAACACCACACACACACACACA